CATTATATTTTTCACCTTTTCTTAATGTTTTTCTTCAGGCTTCTGATTTACATAGGTGATTTTTTCACTTTTGGAGAGAAATTGCCTACTTCTTGGAATGCTTTAAACTCTAGGTGATAAATAGCAGTTTGGTCAAGCCAGTTAAAAATTAAAGCAGGGATCAATTACAAGTCATTGTTTCCAGGTTTATAAACTGCTTTGCAGAAGGCAGTCTGGTAAGAGTTCTGAATGGATTGTCATGCATTCGATTAAATGGCCTAATGAAAGGCTCCTGAAGCTTGCAGAACAGAGCTTTATTTTCAAACATACAAACTCAATTGCACTTAAGCCAGTTGGGTTAGATCCCCTTTGAAAGTCATGGCTATGAAAAGAGGAGTCAGGAGTCAAGCATGCTTTGTGTTGATCTGAAAAGGCCTGTTCAATTTTTTTATTTTTATTCCAGCAAATTTCCATTTTTTCCATAGTAAAAAAAATTAATGGATTTCTATTAGGAGAGCCTTCCAGGAAAACTGAAAAACACCTATTCTTTTTCTCTCCTTCTTTTTAAATCTATTTGCATAACAGTACATCATAATCGTTTTGTTTTCATAATCACATTGAGAGAAAACTTTTATTTTAGTGTTTTACTTTTCGATCTTCAAACATACATACAAATAATGTATATTGTGCATATATACATACACACATATATTATCTTCAAATAATTTTTATACAAAAGATCCTACACTATCAGTAACCTGCTTTAAAAGATCTCCCATACCTAACAATATATTTTGAACACCTTCCCATGTCATTAACCATTTATTTACATATGATTTTTAACACATACATATCTAAATATGATTTTCAACACATTACACTGTATAGACTCATCATAATTTATTATACTAATCCCTATCTTTACACATCTAGATTAGTTCCAACTTTTCACAGTTAGTAATTAATGCTGGGATAAACATTTTAGAAAGTGCACTTCTGCCCATATCTCTGCTTGTTTGAGGTGGTGGTCTTCTTTTTTACAAAAAAAAATTTTTCTATCACCGTTTATCCCCTCTATGCCCTCTTCCACCTAGGTGGTGGCCTTCTTAAGACCATTTAAAGTATGGGATTATCATAATAATAGTAATAGCTAACATTCATAGAGCACATTGTAAATAGGCAAGTCACTTCAAACTAGTTTCTGTCTAGATTCCATGTTTTTGTAGTTGCTCAGTGTTTCTTTTACTTACTATTTGCAATCTGGGTAGTTGGCTTTATCACTTGCTATTGGGATGGCCTTAGGTAAGTCACTACAGCTCTCTGAGCCTCAGTTTTGTCATTTGTAAACTGGGATAATAATACCTAACTCACAGGCTTATTGTAAAGATTAAATGAGATGGGACAAGCAAAGAGCCCAATGCTTGGCACACAGAAAGAACTTAATAAATATTAGCTACTCTTATTTGTCTATCCATGGAGCAAATCAGGAATTAACATTACTCTTTTATTCACATAGAAGTGAATGCTCAACCAGCTTGTCTCAATAGTCTGTCTCTCTCATTTTTAATCATATTTTTTATGCTTTAAAAATCTCCACACCTCTATTATCATTCTTACCATTTGTGTCTTTTTTTCCTGGATTAGTCTTGCCAAAGTTTTTCCAATTTCTTTGCCTTTTTAAAGAATCAGCTTTTGGTTGTTATTGGTCAAATTTAGTCTTTTTTAAAAAATTCCCTATTGCATTAATTTTTGCCTTTATCTTTTAGAATCATATTTGAATTTGTTAATTATAACAGAATTTACATCCATCTGAAAAACAGAGTGATCTATATGATTCCTTGCATATTTTATCTATAATACTTGTTGCACCTAAGGGTCATGGACTCCTATAATCTTTACATTCTTTCTTTGGATTTATTTTGTTTTCTTTTTCATGTTGAGAGCTTGGTTCATTTGTTTTTACATTTTTGTATATTCTGTTAAATGCATTTAAAGCAATAAATTATCCTCTAAATATGGTTTAACCATGTCCTATGGTTGCAAAATTACATATATAGAAAAGCATCTTCACTCACTTGGTGGAAAGGTTTTATTAATAGTTTCCTTCCATTATCATTTATAGTACTGCTGTCATTTGGCATTGACATTGTTATTGGTTATTTGCTAATAGGCCTAACAGAGTGAAAGTAATACTAAAAATCCTTACAGTCAAGGAGCTTACAATTTCACTGTAAACAAAAATCAGATGAATTCTGAGTGCTGAAAATGTTTTCACCATAATTTTTTGCACTCTCTCTGGCCTACAATGTTAGTCTGTCAACCTACATTTAGCATAAATTTAAAGAAGAGGGAATAAGTGAAAGATAGGGGATAAACATTCATGTTCAACTATAGGTTAATAAAGTTAGCAATGGCCATGGTGTAGATCTGTTACCTGGACTTATTACCTAAACTTTAATTCTAATGTCTGAAAAAGTTGCTGGTAAGAGTTTTGGAAGGCCCTACAAACGATCTATTATTTAGCCTAAGGGTTCTTAATCTGGGTCTGTGAACTTTGGTGGAAAAAAGAAAATGTATACTTATATTTTAACATATATGTATATTTTTTTCCACTAAACCCTAATAGAAAATGAGCATTTCTTCTATTATGACTGTAGCTAATATTAACAACCTGTGTCGTTGACTCCAGTAGAAATCACACATAGTTACTACCACATAAAAGTTGTTGCAGATATCTCAAAATACTATTTATGTGCATCACTACTGCAAAATTTCTGTAGGTACTAATCTTGTTATAAAATGCATTAATAAAGACTCAAATATGTAACTGCTAGTTATCTACAGCTATGTAACAAATTATACCCAAAATTAGTGCCTTAAAACAACAAATATTTATCTCACAGTCTTGTGGTCCAGGAATCTGGCATGGCTTGGCTGGGTTTGTTGGCTCAGGGTCTTTTACCATGCTGCAATTAAAGTGTTAGCTGGGGCTGCAGTCATCTCAAAGCTCAATTAGGAGAAAATCTGCTTCCAAGCTCACTTATATGGTTGTTGGCAGATTTCAGTTCCTCACCGGTTGTTGGAGTGCCTCAATTCCTTGGTGACTATAGACTGGAGACCATTCTCAGTTCTCTGCCACATGGACCTCTCCATTAGATAGGTCACAGCACGGCAGCTGGCTTCCATCAGAGTGAGAGAGGAAGAAAGGATGGTCAAGATGGAAGCCAGTCTATTTGTAACCTAAGGATGGAAGTGGTAAACCATTGCTTTTGCTTTTTCTCTTTTTCAGAACCAAATCACTAGGTCCAGCCCACACTCAGTGCAAGACAGGAGTGCCAGAAGGTGAGGATTATTGAGAGTCATTTTAGAAGCTGCCTACTACATAACTATATTGCAAATTTACTTTTTAGTATTTTGATAACTGTATATTCACATAATCAATTTCTTTTGCAGCCCTAGATAGTTTATTTTATGCATTTAAGAACACTATTCTCAAAAAGGGTCCATAGGTTTCACCAAGCTTCCAAACGGACACTTGGCTCTAAATTTGTTTCAATTCAGGAACCTTCAACAACCTCCTGTGGGAATGTTTAGAATGGCCTCAATTTAGAAACTGGGGGTCAAAGTTTTAGCCTATCCCATATTATCCTTATCTGATACCCTTGAGTAGTCCATATTACTTTAATGCTATGACAAAAGTATGACACTTTTGAAAACATAAATGTTCTGTAGAGCACTCCATGAACTGTTCTTAATACTACCCACTTGAATTCGTGTATGCACTCACACGGAAGGGAGGTGTATAGATCTCTGTCAAGCATATTTGATCACTATTAAATCTCCTTTTGGTTGTATATGGCAATTGCCATTTGAGCCTCCAAATGATCAGATGCTATAGGTGGAACTATTTCCCCAAGAATACCCTAATTATCAGACTAGTGCTTTTTACTCTACCTAGCTATGTATGAGAAAGCATAAGTGCAAAAAAAAGAGAGAGAAGTGATGTCATGATTCTTCCCTAAGTCTTGTGCACCGGTCACCTGCTTTTGGTGAAATTAAAGGTAATGGTTGGCATCTCTGAATTAGATTTTTTGCAAGCACAGTACCAGCTTTCTATATTATCTTAGTCATCTAAAAGCTAAGAGTATTTTATAAAACCTCCAGTATTCAGATTAAAGATAAACTGTCAACGATAATTGGGAACAATTCTCTTACTTGTTTTGCCCAATAAGTTTTCTCCTAAAATTCAAATGCATCATCTTCCCAAAGCCATCACTTCCGTGCCATATTACAGGGAGGTGATTTTCCTCCTAGTTCTCTGATCCTAATGAAAAATTAGGTCAGTATTGTCAGTTATTTTAGATCTTCCAAGATAATGCAGGCAAAAATTTCATATTTGGCATCAAATTTTTCTGTGGTTTTTTAATCTGAGCCCCTCTCAATTCTCTAGAATTGAGCCACAACGACATGGAAAGGGGCCAGGGAACCTGGGTGGCTTCTAGATCCCATAGCTACTGACTAAAAATAACTTGGTCAGCCAATCCATCTTCTTGGACTATATTTTCCTAATCTGAAAAATGTGTGAATTTGTGGAGATTTATCCCTCAGCCTCTATTTCTAACACTCTTTGCATTACATTGTGAAGTCTTGGAAAAAACTCTGACCACATTTAGGACTTGTGACTCATGTGACAACACACTCTCAAAGTGGCCTGAAGCAGCTCTGAGCAGAGAAGAGAGAAATGACGTGAGGTTGATGCAGCGGTGACTCTCCCGTCAACTCCTCCCGAGCCAATCAGAAATTCCCCAGGCGCAGATGGGTGGGGCAGGAGGCCAGCGTGACGACAGAAGGCTACTTCCGGCTGTGGTGCGTTTGACGTCAGGGCCGAGTCGGACGGGCCCAGTACCGAGAAACCAAGGAGGGAGGGCTCGCGAGAGTTCAGGGAGGCCGCCCCGAGATTCCGGCGCGGCCGCCAGTCCCACCTCCCGGGGGCGGGGCGAGGGCGGAGCTGGCTGAAGGGAGCGGACGGGCGCGGGGCCGGCTGAGGTCTGCGCGGAGGCTGAGCCGGCCGCCGGCGCGACCGGAGACAGGTGAGTGCGCGGATGCCGGGGTCAGGAGGGGTCCGAGGGCGCCGGGCTGCCGCACCTGCCCGAACTCTTCGAGCAGAAGGAAGAGATCTTGTGTGTCTTTGGGCGTCCAGGGGAAAGCCTGGCTCATTTCGGGGCTGGTAATGTCTCCGGTGAAGCTCCGGCGACGGCCTTGGCCCTCTTGTTCCCCGAGGTGATGCCGGCCAGGGTGTCCGGAGAGGTAGCCTGGAGCCCGGGGAGGAATCTTTGTCCTTCCTCGCTCCTTTCACCCTTCCACTCATCGGCCCTCGAGCGCCCGGCTCCCGTCCCTGCCTGGGCTTGGTAAACAATAACAAATGTCGTGGGTCCTCTCCTGGTATCCCGGGCCCTCCGGTCCCGTGCCCTCCGGCCGATGTCCCGGAGAGGGAGGGTTCTAGGCGCGGCTCGTGTGTCGTGGGGGCTCTGTGTGTACCGTTCCTAAAAACTGATGCGTCAGATTGCTAAACATTTCTCATACCCGGTAAAGCCGCCCAGCTCCCAGAAGCCAGGGAGTGCTCAAAGCCGGTCCCCCCAAAATCTGTCCCCACCTCGGGAACTGTAGACCTTTCTTTTAGGCAGCATTTCCTCCCACTCCCCTTTTCCACCTTTACTGTCGCAGGCGGACGAGCGGTGGTTTGGTTTGCGAATAAGCAAGGTTGGCCCCGATTGAGTAGGAGACATTTCACCTTTAGAAAGTTGTCAGGTTGACAGCAAAGGAACAAACTTTATTTTCAACACCAGTAGCCTCCCGTTCACTGAGGCTACTTTTGTGGCTCGCTTTTCGGGTCGTCGTTTAAGAGGAAAGGTAGGAAGAGAAGCGGGGCGGGGGTGTGGAGCTGGTGGTGCTGGAAGTAGCAGTGGCTTGTCCACGAGTGTGATTCTGCTCTTCACTTGATAAAATGCAGAACCAACGCTCTTGTTCACGTAACTTCTGATAAGTTTTGATAGAAGCCAATTGCTCGGAAAAGGCCTGAGTATTGGCTTTATTACGGCTAAAATCCGAGGATACAGCTTTGTTTTAACTTAAGACTCCTGGTTATAAGACGGGGATTGACCAAGGAGACCGTGTCTTTTGGCCTCTGGGGGTGGAGGGGTTTAAACTTGTCAGGTCTCCCTACTTGAAAGGCAGGGTTGTTATTTAAAGCCATTTTACTTACCCAGTGAAGGTTTTCGAAAGTTCATTGTCTCAATCATATATGTGTACATGACACTGGAAAACTCTTTGTGTTCGATTTGCGTTTCTTTGTATGCCTCAGGATATATAAAACAATTAAGTTTATTATGCTCTCTACCCAGTAACTGAGAGGTATTGTATGTGAATTAGCCACTCTTGTGACTATTTGAGGGGAGAGAAATTAGTTTAAATATGTTATTAAATTATGATGACATTTGTTCTTTGCATAGGTTCATCAAAGTACTTTTATGTGAAAAATTCTGATCTGAAAAGAAGTACAATGAATAAAAAATTTTTTGGTTTGATCTGTGTTAGCTTTGCACTTTGCACTCTTCTTTAAGATGGCTGATAATGTTTCCCATTGGTTGGGATGTGTTTAGAATGAGAAACAAATAGGGTGTACTTTTTGTACTCCTTTGAAAAGCCCTGCCACTGGGAAATGAAAAAATTAGAAAGACCATGTTAAATAGGTGCAGTTATTCTTTAGCCTTTGGTTTTTGCATTTGTTTTAAAGTTGAGATCAAATTCAAAGAATCCTAGTCAAAGAATAGAGACTAGGAATATTTGTGCAAGTAAATAGGTGTCCTCAGCTGTTTTTATGCTGAAAATTTAATTTCAAAAGGCAGCACATTATATAAACAAAGGAAAAATTGTACTTTGTAGAAAATGGTAACAAAGCAATGTTTTCGGTTCTGCCATTTCTTTTTTTAAAAGTTCTATTCTCTCTAAGTAAAAGCAACGGCATTGTGTTGCCAAAGTTGGATAATTTAGAACGGGCTTTCTCAGGTAATCCTAGATAAATTGGAGGCCTGTGTGTGTGAGAGTGTGAGTGAGTCTCACTTTGTTAAGAGGGAAAATGGGGCGAAAATCAAAGCCAGAAAGATTTCCATCTTGATGTAAAGTTAAAATGATTTTATTTTACATAAATAGTGTAGGGTGAATCAAGCAAGCATATTGTCATCCAGCATCCCTGTGATTACATTAAAGTCAGCAGATGGGCAAGTTATGATTAGGTTAACATGACATATGCAGAAATTATGCTACTGTATTTTTATATTAAAAGCACCATGGGCTTTTTGAATGAGATAATGAAAATAAGCTTTTAAAGCATAAGAAAAATTTAAAAATAAATTAATTTTAAAAGATATTCTTGATCATTAGTTTAAAAATTATCAGTGAATCCTTCTTTCCTCTTGTCCACCCCCACCCCCAAATTTCTTTTTAAGCCTTAAGAGGATATTTATCAAAGTGCACTTGGTATGTAAAGCTCCTGTCTGCAGGTAAAGGTTTGCTAATTAGCAGGGTATTATTATTCAGAACCTTTAGAGAGAGAGTGAGAGAAATGAAGGGCAACAAGGAGCAGTCTTTGCTACCCATTATACTCAGATGTGGTCTCTATCTTCAAGGAGATATAATCTAATGGAAGGGAATTTTACCCATATAACTATAATACACAATGCACTTTGTGGACAAGTCAAGGAGGGAGGGATTCAATTCTACTAGGCCAGTTAGGGAAGGCTCTGAGTAGGGCAAGGCATTTGTGTAGATGATTTGGATTATCTAGTCATATGATAATCATAATAAGCAAACACTTTACATAATGCTACTTGCTGATAAATGCTTACATGTAGTAATTTACCTGTGTTTAAGCTGTACAACAACAATATGGAGTAAGTATTTTTATTCCGTTTTGCAGATGGGGTAACTGAGTTACGAAGATCAGATAACTAGAAAATGGTAGAACAAGGATTGCAACCCAGGCATTCCAGCTTATATCTATATCCCTGTGCTTAATCACTCTCGTTATTTTCTCTCCCATTCTTGATGATCTTTCTCAGGTCTGTAGTTTCAAAGAATTGATTTGGGAAAATATGTTTTTCTGGCATCTAAATTTAGGGGTCGATTTTCTAGAAAGAGCTCCAAAATAATGAAAACGCAGGTAAATAAGTTGTTTTTGGCATGTTAGATATTTAACCAATTTTTGGAAGTTGCTCCTTGTGCGAATGAAAGGTAACCATTGAGTGGGATTTCTGATAAATTGCACTTCATACTTAGTAGCATATACTTAAGGATTTAGAAATAAGAAGTTATAACTATATTAACTCCTTTGCCTATAATGGAATTTTTGAACCATGTAATTTGGCTTGTAATTTTTAAAAATCACTTGGCACTGGATATTTTTTGGATTGAATTGTGAAGTTGGAATTTGTTTAATGATCAAATGCCAGTTTAGGCCCTTTTAGTTTTTATTTCCACAAACAGTTAAATTTTTAATGCCTGAATCAGGATTTTGAATAGAGTTTTGTACATGTGTAAAATGAGAGACATTCAGTCACTGATACTTTATGTTAGGGCAACTTTGAAAGCTTTTTGGGGTTGTAAAATAAAAGGTACTATAGAAATACACTGTGCCTAGCATAGGCCTACTCAATAAATACTGCTTTGTTGAATGAATGGTCCAGTTAATTTTATTTATGAAGTTTCAGGAATAGTTCACATTTTTTATTGGTTATCTAAGTATTGGCATCACAATAAAAAGTGGATTTAAAGATTAGGAAAAAAATATATCTAGGCAGAGGTAGGGGTACTGCCTATCCTTACCTGTCTAGCAAGATATGGACCCATTCAGCTCCTTTGTCAGTGTCCTTTTGACTCAGTTTTAAGTGGAACTCCAAAGGCACAGTCTCTGTGAATGAATATAATAAGTGCTCTCTCCTTGTCTGAGTGAGGTAGGTTCTAGAAAACGCCTACAGTAGGGTAATTTATGGTTGATGAGTTTAAAACCTAATGGGAAAAGTAGCAGAACTAAAGTCAAGATAAAAGCCCATATATTTATGTTATTGTAATAAGATAAATGTGGCAAAATTTTTTTTAAAGATTTTTTTATACAGAGTTTAAATTAATAGGTGATGGGATATTATTTTCATTTATCACCCCTGATTGACAAAATTTTCAGGATCTAAACCCGTAATTTCATGGAGATGTTTATAAGTCAACTGTGGTTTGTTATAGGAAAGTTATGTGTTCCTCTAAGTACAAGTTTGGTTTTGAATAGTTATTCTAAGTAAAAAAGAAACCAGACACCTACTCTCACCTCCTTGCTGATAGAAATTTTAGGGGATCTTTTCCCATAATAGAATAGTTTTGTCTACATTGAAAATCCACTGAGACAGGTAGCCCCCTTCTTAGGTGTTTTCTTAGGGAAGACCTTAGCAGTTACATATCATATCGTAAGCTAACCATTCACATTGGTGTTGTGTAAATTCAAAAAGGCCTCAAACTTTGGCAATTTATCTGTAGCTTATGATAGTAGCACTTGTATTATGCTCAGCTTTTAAATTATTAAATAAACTACTTGCTGTCCCCTGAATTAACATTAGACCAGTTAACAACCTGAGAGGATGTTGATTCTCTGGCTACACATGCAGAAGGTCTCTTGTTTTCCTTGTTTTTTTCTGAATCTTATTGATTCCACAGGTATGGATTTTTTGTGTTACAGTATACGAGTCTCTGATCTCATAAGCACAGGCAGCATCCATTGTTTTCTTACCTTTTACAATTATTTGCTCTCTCTTCATCTGATTCAGGAGAGGATTCTATTCTTCCTAATTTAGGGATACTTTACTGCTTTTGCAATTACTTAATATGATGGAGTTAATAATATTTAACACCTCAAAATCAACCACAAATACAGCAATGTGCCCAGAATAAAGAACAAGATGGTAGAAACTTAAGTGGCTGTGCATGATTGCTAATACCATCTATTTTTGGCACGCAGAGTTGTTGTTCTTTGCTGTGGGGCCTAGCTTTCATTCTGTCTATGAAAATTTAGAAAATCGAAAGCCTGTATACAAAGAAGCTTCTGTATACACCAATGAGAACATTTTAAAAATTTTATTTTGATTTTTTGTCCTGTTCTTCCATATAGTCACTGCTGTTCTGCTTTTATGACTTGGAGATATTGGCTTCGGTTCTCTAGATTCTTCAGCAGTCCTGGAGACACAGTAAGTAATTTGGACATTTATATGAAAATGCTTTGTATAATCTATGTTTCTCAAATTTTGTCTCCCAACAGTAATATATAAATTTAGCTCTCTATATGTCATCTTCCCTTCTAACATGTTCTTGGCTCATTTTTCTTCCTTAATGTCACCAGTTAGGGTTTGGGTGTAATAATTATTTAATCAGCAATGGTAACCATTTACTTATCATTACTATGTACCAGACATAGTGCTAAGTACTTTATATAAGTATTATCTCATTTAATCTCTACTAACAAATGAGGAAACTGGAGCCTAGAGAAGTGAAGTGACCAGAGTCACCTAGGCAGATAGGAAGTGGAAGAGTTAGAAATTGATCCCTAAGATCCAGGTTTGCTTTCTCTTGTATCGCTTTATTTTATTACAAAAACGCCTTTGCTATTTAATTTACCTCCTTCTTTTAGTCCCACCCGAGTCATCTTTTTTCCCTCTCTCCCTCCTCTTTTTAGGAGTTATTTACAGTTTTGCATGTCAAACATAAATTCTCATGGGAAAAGTATACAGAAATAATTCGGCTCTGTTCAGATTTCCTATAGAGGGGGACTTGCTCTTGGAGAGAGCTTATTGTAAGAATAATGTCAGTAACATCTTATATTTGTATTGTGCTGTAGAGTTTTATAAAGCATTTTTATACATCTTACTTAATTCTAATAGCAAACTTAAACATAGGTCTTTAGATTAAAAGTTGTTACAGGCAGTTTGCTAAGGACTCCACAAAATTTGTTGATGAGACACAGTTTTTGCCCTTAGCAATTTTAATGCTGAAATAAATGATATAATCAGATGTTCTGACTTCATTCAAGCCAATTAGGAGCAGATAAATATCATTATAGCACAGCGTTTTCTTAAAAGATGTTATAGTTTTGAGCTTTGTTTTTGGCCAAAATTGAGAAGTTGGAATTTCAGTGCTGCATTTTAAATCATGAAATGTTAAAACTCTTCAATTCTTCTGATTCAGTGAATGATAGTTAAGTTGCTGTCTACCTCATTCTGCACACAACTGTTACATTTAACTAAAACAATTATCATGAAGGAATGGGGTAGAGGGAGGATAGGCAGAACTTCAAAAGTGAAATTAAAGAACTCGGGATCCTAATAAGGACTTGATGAGGTACCTTACGGGTAGCACTGTTGCAGGAAATTGGCTGTAGACTTTAAAGAATGGATAAAAGCTCTAAGTATTCCCCTCTGGAAAGCTGTATTATTTGAGGGATCAAAGAGCTTATTTAATGATCCATTTTTAAAATATTTTTATGTGCCAGTATCTTGTTTTAATGAATTTAATTTTTACTAAGCTTTGGACATTTTTACTTAGTTAAGCATTTGCCCATTGACTTGCCCCCATTACGGAAACACCACACCATATTTGCCCTTCATAATTTTCTGTATTTGTCAGCAGAGGCAGACTGCCTGATTTATAGAACTAGGGAGTTGCCTTTTGTTGTGTTTTTACAATAGAGGTCTGTTTCATTTGGGCACATCTTTCAAATCTGGTCGAGGATAGTCTCCATATGTCCACTATTATCTAGCCAAACAGAATAGACATTTTCTATTTTAGTGGATAGAGTGGAAAAATTTCCAGTCTTGAATTGCATATATTTGGCCAATTGGTATTCTTAATACTGCCAAATCCTGAAAGAATCACAGACTCATAATGTTTTAGTGAGGTTAACCATCATAATTCAATAATAATCAGCTATTTGCATGGCACTGTATTAGGTACCATGGCAAAATAGAGATGAGTAAAATATATTCCCCTTCCATTTAGAAAGGTTTCATCCAGTAACAGACATGAATATATGGGTATAAACTCAGAAAGTGATCAGCGAGTAACAGGGCACTGTGGGAGCAGAGGAAGGAGAGATTGCTTCTGGCTGGAGAGATTAGGAAGGCTTCCTATATAAAGAGAAATATGAATTGACCATTTAAAGGAAAGGACATGCTGGGCCGAGGGATTAGCATGAGTTGGATATATTTCTATAACACCTGATAAATTATTTACTTATTTACTTAATTATTTACTTCTCTCTCTGCCCTATTGGATTTGAGCCCATTGAGCTTAGAGAACAGGTGTTTTTCAGCTTTTCATTCTCTCCATCATCAACTGCTCAACCTGGTACATTTAATTAAAGTTGTAATTTAGTAAGATTACAGTGGCAGTAGTGTCTGTGGAATGGATTTAAGGGAAGAGAGCCCAGAGATCGGAAGACCAGTGAAGAGACTAATTTAAATAATCTAGGAGAGGCCTGGCTGCTGGCTCAGTTGGTTGGATCGTCTGTACTCCAGAGGTTGTGGGTTCCATTCCCAATCAGGGCACATGCCTAGGTTTTAGGTTCGGTCCCTGGTCGGGGCATGTACTGGAGGGAACTCATCAATGTTTCTCACATTGATGTTTCTCTCTCTCTCTCCCTTCCTCTCTCTCTCAAATCAATAAAAACATATCCTCCAAAAAAGAAAGAAATTCTAAAATAATAATAATAATCATTATCACCTAGGAGATAGATAAAATGAAGTTCTAAACTAGGTGAGATTGGAAGGAAGAGACTTGGATGGATGAGTGTTGAGACCTAGGGATGACCTGTGAGGTATGTCCTGTGTACCAGGAGATGCAGCGATGGAAAGGTACTGGTGTTCCCTCAGAAAGCACAAAGGTAACCACAGAGCTACACTCACAGGTATAGAAATAATTGCACTAGCACATCGCTGCTGTAATGAAGGAGCAGCGAGAGGAGCGCTCAAGGGAAAGGAGCACAGGTTTGGGAGAATCAAAGAAGCTTCCCCTGGAGGTGGTAGTGTTTGAGCTTAGACCTGAAGGGTGAGTTGGGAATTTTTCAGGCCAACAAGCAGCGGGAGGACATTACAGCATAGAGATGTAAAGACTGTTTAGGCAGCCATGAGAACCTGGATTATTTTAGGATTGGGACATGAGGCTAGATAGGATAAATTAACTTGTCTTTATAAAATAACTTTGTATTTGCCATTTTTAAAATGTGTACTTTATCCAGCGTTAGTGCTCTGAGCTTTTGTAAGGGTTTCTGTTGTTTCTTGCAGTCTGGTGGAAGCACCTGTGCTGTGCTTCCCACCCGCACCCACACCCGCACCCCCAGCCTGCAGGTGTACTGCCAGTGATAACATTGTCTCTTGCTTCCTTTTTGGGAGATTAAGCAGAGTAGGTAAAGATACGATTAGCCAGAAAGATTAAGAGAGAAAAAAATCCACAAAAGACCTTTTCTCTGATGAATGCCTAGAGCAACTAGGATTGTGTATGGAGAATGCAGCATCGAAGCATAGTGTCAAGAGCGCTTGACTTGAGGGAGGGAATTGTGGTAGTAACATAATTATTTACCTTTCCCATAAAGTTTTATGGAACCCTTAAAAATTTCCCCGAACTGTCATATCTAGTGCCAAAGTTCTTTAATTTTGATTCTAGCCTTGATTTCTTTCCATCTCCTCTACTTAACCCTTCCTGTATTTTAATAACTTAGCATGACTCTAAACTTCAGATGGTGTCAAACATTGTCTGTAGTTTCCCCCTGTCCCACCTTTTTTGGTCCTTCAGAAACCTTCATTTGCAAATCATGATTCTGAACTTAGTATGTATAATCAGTATTAGACTGCTGGAGCTGAAAAGCACTCTAGGTTTTTTTCTTCACATAGGTTTACTTTCTACAGCCATATTTTTTTTTCTGTCTTGTGGATTGGGCAACTGAAACAGAATACAGTTAAGTTTTCTAAGAACAACCAAAAAGTTAATTGTGGACTCCAATTAGAATTACATCCATTGTATTTCTAGGCTGGGTTTGGCAGCTGTGTTAGCTTTAGAGCAATTAGTGGTAATAATAAAAGTTTATGGATACTACAGGAAGGAAAGTGAAAGACAAGAACAGGAAAAGAAAAAGGAAGCTTGCAGACTGGCAGGAGAGCCATAGGGTGGGGGCAGAAGAAAAGGTGCATAAGGTTAAAAGATGTCAAGTTCCCCTGACACCTGTTCCAGGTGCCACTTGGTGGGACCAGTGCCATATTTTAAGATTAAGTCAAACTGCCAGTAATCCTTTCTAGAAATACACTGGGTGTATTGTTATGCCAAAAATGACAGTTTATTGTAATAAAGTATTGTTTGATTTAATAAAAAAATGTATATGTACCTGTGTTTCTCTGTTTTTCGAATTGAGCAGAAAGGGAAACAAACCAACACACTGTAAATATTAGTGAAAATTATAGGCACATTTCTGAAATGTAATAAAACCTTTCAGACTTAAACCCATAAATTATGTCTAGTCCTAGTTAGGCAGAAGGTGCCAGAAAGGGAAGGGAAGAATGAAATAAATAGGAAGAGGCGTTTGGATAAAACTGCATTCTCATACCAACCATATAACTGGGGCCACAGAGGGGAAAACAGGGTAAGAATGAGATCTAGGGCCCGAGATTGCCTGTCCAGGTAACCCAAGTACTCCTTCACTTTCAGAAAAAAGTATTATCAAACACTAAAAACTAATTTTTCAAAATGTATTTTCATCATTGGACTAAGGAATAAGCCAAGGAATAAAAATAGGTATTACTTTAGTTTTTCTGAATGGTAACAAAAAGCTGTTTCTCAGATTGTAAGAAATACTGGATTAAATTAACGTCTTTGACTTTTTCCAGAGTTGAAAGGTACTGTAGAGGTCATCTAGTTTAATTCTCTACTGTAAATTACCTCTAATCCATGACAAGTGGGTGTTTAGTATTTGCCTAAAGACAAGAAACTTAACAGATTACAAGATAGCTAACTTTCATTCCCTTGAATGGTTGGTATTGTCCTGTGTTCTGTCCCCAATCCTCTTTTTTTCACACTCCGTACACTCTGGGGTCTAGATGATCTCATGTGCTCTGATACCCTCAGTGCCCACTGTGTGATGATGACTCCCGATCTGTATATCTTGCTTAGCCCTCCCTTCAAGCTTGGGACTTCATTGTCTATCTCT